ACAAGATTCGCTGCGTTTCGGGGCCCTTCGGACCGCAAATCTGAGCCCCCGCCCGGCCGCGCAGCCGCGCGGAACGCCCTGCGGCCCCCGCAGACAGGTCCGCGACGCGGCGTGCAAGGTGCTGCTCGGCCGCCAGGAGCCGCTCGGCGAGCGGCTAGAGGCGTTGCGCTCCCTGCGAAACCTGGCGATGCCGCCAGCGGCCGCGGCTGGCGCCGAGGCGCGCCGATCATCGTTCCTCGCTGCTGCTGCTCCTCCTCCTCCTCCTCCTCCTCCTCCTCCTCCTCCTCCTTCTCCTGTTCCTCCTCCTCCTCCTCCCCCTCCTCATCCTCCTTTTCCTCTTCCTCTTCTTCCTCCTCCTCCTCCTCCTTCTCCTCCTCCTCCCTCTCCTCCTCCTCCTCCTCCTCCTCCTCCTCCTCCTCCTCCTCCTCCTCCTCCTCCCCCTCGTCCTCCACTCCTCCTCGCTCCTCGCCTCTCGCTCCTCGCTCCTCGCTCCCCCTCTTCGTCCTCGCTGTTCGTCCTCCTGCTGCCACCGCGGCGTTCCTCATCGATCCCCCTCCGCCGTCGCGCCGCGCGGGCCGCCGGGGCGCGCCGCACTCCACCGCGGTGGCACCGCTCGCGCGCCAGAGGCGGTAGACGCCAACGGGGGGGACGGGAGGTGGAGGAGGAGGAGGAGCGAGGAGGAGGAAGAGGAGGAGGCGGAGGAGGAGGCGGAGGAGGAGGAGGAGGAGGAGGAGGCGGAGGAGGAGGAGGGGCAGCAGCAGCAGCAGCAGCAGCAGCAGCAGCAGCAGCAGCAGCGAGGAGGAGCGAGGATATCTGTCCATATCCACTGCAGCTTGGAGTTGCGGGCGTCCTTCCCTTGAAGCCCCGGGCGCACAGGATACCTACACGACCACCCTTCGGGTGATAAGGAGGCTGGGGGCGGGGGAAAAAAACAATTGCTGGCAACTGCGATTGGCGTGATGATGGCAATGCTGGTGGCGTGCCCTCGAGTTGGCGACGACCCGTTATGACGACGTTACGTTGCTCAATGTCACAACCGCAAAACCGATCTCGATCTCACTCAAAGGATCTCGTTATCGATCACATAGTCGATCTCACAATCGATCTCACTATCAATCTTACGACCGATCTCACGATCGATCTCATTTGACCAATCTCACGACCGAATTCACCTTCGATCTCTGAAGCGACCTCAATCGATCTCCCAATCGAGCTCACAATCGATACCACTATCGATCCCTCTGTCGGTCTCGCAATCGATCGCACCACTGACCTCACAATCGATTGCACTCCCGATGCAACGATCGATCTCACTGCCGCTCGCACGATCGGTGCAACGACCGATCTCACGATCGACCTCACTATCGATGCGGGGCACCACTAGACACCACGGGACACCGCTGGACACCATTGAGACAATGCGAGACACCACGGGACACCGGGACACCGTCGGGACACCATCGGGACACCACGGCGGACACCGCGGGACACCATCGGGACAACGCGGGACACCACGGCGGGACACCCCCAGCCACCGCGCGCTGACCAGAGGGCGGGACTTTTGCATCCGAATCACACTAGCAATGGTGGGATCATTTTCCTTGCGCGCCCACGGCGAGACACCATCGGGACAGCGCGAGACACCACGGCGGGACACCCACAGCCACCGCGCGCCAACCAGAAGGCCAGACTTTTGCATCCGAATCGCCTCAGCGATGGCGGGGTCGTTCCTCTCGCGCGCCCACGCAGCTTCGCCTCGCCCGCACGCACGACACGAACACGAAACCGAAACCGATTTCCCAGTTGGGGGCTTTCCGTTCCACTGCGATCTCACCCCCTCTGCCCCCTAGAGGCCCAATGTTTACCCATATCCAGTGCGCCTCGGCCTTGTGGTGCTCTTTTCAAAAAATCTAAGAGACAATGGATAAAGATATACATCTCGCCCGCAATCTCGTGTCTCGACACGTTCGTTATCCCCCCCTCGGCCCCGGAACCCGCCTCCGTCGCCATATGAACGACGGAAGAAGTCGGGCTCGGCTGTGCCAACAATCCCGCGCGAGGTCGCGCGGACATGCCCTCTTCTCCACGCGGTGTGCCACGCTCGCAGCCCGCTTAAGCCGCGGCGGATAAGCGCGATACCTTCTCGCGTAAGACTCTTTTCTCTCCGTCGTTCAGGCACACGGCGGCGGGCATGTTTTCAGTCTTCCATCCTCCGCCCTGACGTAACACATCCTCAGGAGTGGTAGGGCCGCACGTCGCTCCGCCAGTTGTGGCTCGCCGCGCTCCGGCGCGCATCGCATATCGCGTTGGGCCGCCGCCGCGACTTTCTCTTCGTCGCGGCGCGGCAGAGGCAATCCGCTCGCACGCTCTAGTAGCTGGGGTGAAGCATACTAACTGTCCAAAAGCGAGAGAGAGAGAGAGAGAGGGAGACAGGGCAGAGGGCGGCCGCGGAGCAACGGAGAAGGGGGGAGGGCACAGACCGTTACTGGTTTCAGCGCCGCCAGCATATCTTCTTGCATATTTTATCGCCCAGAAAATTTAGGCTCCTGCACCATTTTGTCTGCATGGTTTCGTCGACTGCGCTGAACCTCCTCCTCCTCCTCTTCCTCCTCCTCCTTCTCCTCGATGTTCTTTCCTCGTTCCTCCTCCATTTCCTGCTCCTCCCCCTCCTCGTGCACCCCTCCTCCTCCTCCCTCGTCGTTCGTCCCCCCTCGCTCCTCCTTCTCCTCGCTTCTGCTCGCCCGCCCTCGGTGCTCCTCCTCCGCCTCCTCATATTTCTTCTCCGCCTCCTCCTCTTCTCCTCCTCCTCCTGTTCCTCCTCCTGCTCCTCCTCCTCCTCCTCCTGCTCCTCCTCCCTCCTCTTCCTCCTCCTCCTCCTCTTTCTCATCCTCCCTATCCCTCCTCCTACTTCCTCCTCCTCCTCCTCCTCCTCCTCCTCCTCCTCCTTCCTTTCTCCTCTCCTCCTCCTCATCCTCCTCTCCTCTTCTCCTCCTCCTCCTCCTTCCTCACCTCCTCCTCCTCCTCCTCCTCCTCCTCCTCCTCCCCCTAGGCGGCTCCCCAGTGGCTCCTCCTCCTCCTCCTCCTACTCCTTTCCTCCTCCTCCTCCTTATCCTTCTCCTCATCCTCATCCTGTTCCTCCTCGCTCCCCCCTCCTCGCTGTTTCCCCTCCCTGCTCCTAACTCAACTCTCCTTTTCCGCATCACTCCTCGCTCCCTCCCTCGCTCCTTGCTCCCCTTCCTCCTCGCTCTCCCCCGTCCTGCTTGCTCCTCCCGCGTTCCCCGCTCCCCCTTCCCGCCCGATCGGGGGCCCCCTCCCGGCGACGCCCGACGCGCCGCGGCCCGCGGGCCGCTGGCCCCCCCTACGCAGGCGGCGCTGCAGTCGGTCCTGGCCGAAGTGGCGGGCCCGGGCGCGGCGGAGCTGCGGGGGGCGGCCGAGGAGGCGCTGTGGGCGTGCTACTGCGCCTCAGGCGCTGCGGGGGCCGCCGCGGCGCCCCCTCCTTGAGAGGAGGGCAAGGTACCAACACACACACACACACACACACACACCCTTGCACAGTGTTCGCCTTTCTGGAGGCCTCCTGGGAGGCCCTCGTCGCCACCGCTGGATTCGCCTCGACACTCCTGGTCAAAACGCACCCTGGGAGAGGTCTGGGGAGTAGCGCTATCGGTACCTATTGCTTCCCCATTCTTGCAGTCGAATTAGGCGAGTCATTTGTGGCAAAATGCAAAACCTTGCCCTCTCCGATCCACGAGTCGGGCAACTCGATGGGTGGCGGGGGCATGATTCGAAATTCGTCGAGCACGTGGCGAAGTCCGAGCCTACCCTTCGCCTCTCACCGGTACAAGATAATCGATAAGTGGGGCCATGGTTCGGATGTCGCCACCTGAAAAAAAGCAGCATAAATATGAATGTTCGGAAGTCCGCGCGGATTCCTGGGATCAGCGCCGCCCCTTGCGCGCTCCGCGCACCAGGGCGGGGGGCCAAGCGCAGATCCAAGAAATCAGCGAGGCCCACGAAAGTTAATGTTTGTGTTGTTGTTTGTTCCTCCACTCGCGTCGTGAACAAAATACGACGGAATCTGTTTTGCGGTCTTCGGCGTTTTAGGGTCTTTGCCGGGCCCCTGGCCCATCAAAAAACGACTCAGGATGAAAAGCCGGCCTTGAGGTCCCGCCGCCTTCCGAGAAGGCATTCTCCCTCTCACTTCCCCCCTCGCTCGCCGCCGTCTCCCGCATCCCCAGCGCTGATTCTTCCCTGCTACTCGCGCCACCTCCGCTGCCGTTGCTGCTACCGCGCGTCCTCCTCCTGCGCGTTGCGTTGTTCTCCCCCTGTGCTGCTCCGCCGTGCTGGTGCCGCTGCTGCTGGCGGTGGTCCGGTCTTGGCATCGCTCGGACGTGTGCATTTTTCGGCGAAAGCCATCGAGGAGCCTTTTGGGGGTCATCTTGCGAGAAGATACACGCACGAAGCCTCCAACGATGCACGGGGAGTAGACGTCCGAGCGATGGCGAGGCGGTGGTCGGGTGGGCTATCTGCCCAGTTGCTTGGGCCGCCTCCCACTGCGCCCGTCTCGTTGCCCACGCCCGCGCGCGGGGTCGCTGGTTCAACAGACTCTGGGCTCAGTTGGTCGTTTCTCCGCCCCTGTCTCACGACGGCGCGCAAGCTTCAGCAAAGCCCACGGCGCCGCGTCGCTGCTCATCCTGAGCTCCACGAAAGGATTGGACGCCTCGCATACAAGGTCGAAGTCGGTTGGAGCCACTTTGAGCGTTGCCGTCTGGAAGCGGTTCAGATGTGGCGATCGCTTCGCTCTTGGGTCGCTGTCCTCGCGGAGGAAGAGCGCGATGCTGAAGGGCCCGCGGCCATGGCTGCAACCCTTTGGTCGGCGTCACCCCAACATCTTTATACTAAATATGTGCGTCGCCCCCCCAGGGGCGACGCGCGCACCGAGAAATCTCATTATATACCCGTCGTGGTGGGCGCTTTCTGGCCACACTGCTCGGGAAACGATATACCACAAGATGGGCATACTGTATGTTCGGGTCGGACGCGCGCCTCCAAGGCAGACATATAGTTCTAGTATGTTTCTGTGCGTCCCCTTTGGAAAAGGACCTTCCGATGTCTCCCCCTCGTGGGACCATGATCTCCAGGGGAGTCTCTGCCTCCGAACTGCCCGGCCGTTCCCCTGGCCTGCTCCTGGCCTTCAGTCGGGCCTGTGACCCTACAGGGGGAAAATTCAGAAATAGTCACAAAGATTCAGGGCACGACGTTTTAAACTGGGAGAGAGAAAGAGAGAGAGAGAGAAGTTGAAATGGAACACCCTGGCGTGTGGGATAGATCCAAACTGTTGTTGGCTATGTTGGGGGGTAATTTTTTATGTTTCGTCCAAACATCCGCCTGTAGGAGGACGTGCCCGACCTAGTCCTGGCCCCGCGTTCCCCCGCTCCTCTCGGGCGAAGAGAGCTAGGCACGTGCACCGATCTTGGCCAGGCCCATCCTGGGCCCGGGATCCGTGCCTGCGTCTTCCCGGCCAAGGCAGGAGGGCGTGCGCACCGATCCCGGGCACAGGACGGACCTCGCCACGATCGGTGCATGTGCACAGCCAGTTCTCTCTGCCCTATACAGTCTCCCCTGCCCGTTGGCGCTTGCCCTCGGCGGGTGTGGGGCCCCTCTCCTGCCAGCTGGGGTGCCGGCCCGAGGGCTGCTCCAGTTGGGAGGGCCGCCCGGCGTTCTCCGCCGGAGCCTGCCCGCCTCTCTCGTGCCGCGCCGCGCGCTGGAGGCGCGGGCCGCCCCGCCCTTCTGTTTCGGGTGGGAGGGCCGCTGGTCGGGGGCGGCGAAGGAGGGGGGTGGTGGTGTGCGGGGGGGGGGGGTATGCCATGGCGTGGGCCATGTTATCCCCCCCAGATTTCACGGCGCCTCTTCTCATTTCAATGCGTCCCTGGCCCCCCCTCCCCCCCTGGGCCGCGCACATGTCCCTGGCCATGTTATGCCCCGCCCCCCCCGCTCTTGGAGACCCCCATCTTGGCCGACCCCGAGCTGGACGCGTCGCGTCGCGTCGTGCCACTGATCGGCGGCGAGCGAGGGGGGGAAGTGAGAAGAAGAAGGCCTTCTCAGGAGGCGACGGGGCTTCTCAGGAGGCCTCGGGCCTTCTGAGAGGTCTTCTGTGTCTTCGGGAAGGTTCGGAAAACTCATCAGAAAGCCCGGGGACTCCCAGACCTTTGAGAAGGCCTTCCCCTTCTCATCTCCCCCTCGGGCGCGCCGCCGAACTTGGCGTTCAGCAGTCGGCACCTCGATGCCACGCAGCTGGCAGCTGGTGCGACGAGGCTGTGGCTGCAACAGGAGATCCCCCCGCGTCTCTTGCTGCCCAGGCCCGCGCGCGAGGCCGTGATACACCAGCTACGAGTGCACCTTTGTTTGTCGCTTCTTTCTGGTTGACCCAGACGGGGGTCCAGCGAAAAGAGGGTGATGCAATAGATTTGGTGCAATCGATATGTGGGGTTGCCAGAGATTTCGGGCGTGCAATAGATTCCAGTGCGCAAAGGTGTTGCTGGATGTTTGCGTGCAGTACAACTGCTTCAACACAATGCAATACAATTCTCCGGCGCAGTACATCTGCAATGCAATTGCCGCACATCTATTGCACCACCCCCTTTCAGCTGGACCCCTCTTTTGGGTCAACCGAGTTGTTGTTCAAACTCTTCCCGAATTCCGTCCTGGATTGTCGGCCACTTGTTTCGCGGCCTGACTTACAGTCGGACCGAGGTATAATGTCGAGGTCGGTTCCGGGAGGGTGCTCTAATCTTCTTCGTGTTTCTTGGATGTTCTTTTGCATCTCGGGGGAGGGCACCGTCGAGTAATCTGGTAGCTTTGGGTGTTTCGGCCAGCAGAGGGTGTCATGTTCTTGAAGCTGACTTGGTTCGGCTACGTTCGCGCACGTCGCCGTGTACTGGAGTTTACCGCGCACCGACCCATGACCTTTTTCGGTTTATGTCAGTGTTTCTTTATCGGAGGTTGGGGGGTGAGTTCGACGTGAAACGGAGACCCCCCCCATATTTGGAAATCGATTTCGGTTTCGGGTTCGTGTCGTGCGTGCCGTGCGTGCGTGCGGGCGAGGCGAATCTGCGTGGGCGGGCGAGAGGAAATCCTCCTGTGGCTGGGCCGCGGCCAGACCAAATGTTTCTCCTTCAGCGGCGGGTGGCCCGCGGTGTCCCGCCAGTGTCCCGCTGGTATCCCGAAATCCTCCTGTGGCTGGGCCGCGGCCGGACCAAATGTTTCTCCTCCGGCGGCTGGTGGCCCGCGGTGTCCCGCCGGTGTCCCGCTGGTGTCCCGCCGGTGTCGGGCTTGTGTCCCGTGGTGTCCCGTGGTGTAGATCGATAGTGATATCGATAGTGAGATCGATGTGGTGTCCCGAGGTGTCCCGTGGTGTCCTATGGTGTCCCGTTGAGTGAAATCGATAGTGAGATCGATAGTGAGACCGATAGTGAGATCGAGAGATGTCCCGCGGTGTCCCGTGGGGTCCCGTGGTGGCCCGTGGTGTCCCGTGGTGTCCCGTTGGGTGAGATCGATAGTGAGATCGACAAGTGTCCCGTGGTGTCCCGTGGTGTCCCGTTGAGTGAGATCGATAGTGAGATCGATTGAGTCAGATGTTGGTTCCCCCCCTTTCCCCCCCCCACACAACCTCCTTATCACCCGAATGGTGGTCGTATAGGTATCTGATTTGAGCACCGGTACGCTGGTTTTAACAGGTCCATCGTCTTTCCTTATATACCTTAGCACTTGTGAAATCTCTTTGTTACCGGTCCGCTGGTTCTAATAATCATTATTCTCTTCCGTCTCCTACAGCGAGAGGCATCCAGCCGCCCCTCCCGCCGCGACAGGCGACGACGAGATCGAAGAAAAGATGCGGCGCGGAGGCGCCCTGCTGGACCTCTCGGAGGGGGGAGGCACGCGGCACCCGGGCGCTGTGATTTTGGCACGCCGGGCGTGTTGTCGCTCAGCGTCGGGCCCCAGGACCATCACAGACCGACTCGGATGGAAAGATGTTGCGGAAAGATGGGGGTCTGCGGTTTTGCACGCGATGTTCTCCGATGTTGTTGTTTCGCAGCGTCGGGTCTCAGGGCGCGTCGGATGTGCTTCACAGGAAGGGCAGTGCTGTCGCGCGGCGATCTCGTGAAATGTGGCAGGTGCTCGAACGCCACTGAGGGCTCTGACACGGGTTGCGTCTGCTGCTCCCGGGTGTTTGGGGACGGTCCTGGATGGGGTTTTGACAGAGTAGATGTTCGACCACCACCCCCGAACGCCTCGCAGCGTTGCAGCGTCCAGCGGCTGCGTCTCGCCGAGGGCAGTCTGGGGGGCGGGGCCTTTGCGTCTTTGGCGTGGTTCAGCGCCCGACAGCGAACGCCGTCATGGCAGGGATCCCCAAACGGTGCGGCGACAATGCCGTGTGGTGAGTCAGTGCGGATTCGGGGTGAACCGCACGGTTTTTGGACTTTGTGGACGCTCTCTGAGTATGTCCAGGGAATGGGCGCAGGCAATGGCGGAGGCGAAGGGGGAGACATGGCGCATCACACAGCGGCGGAGGGCGTGCTCCCTCCCGTCCGCCCGAGGAGCGGCGAGACTTCAAGGCTGCCGTCGCTGTGTTCACCGAGGTGGTCGACTCGGCCCCCGACTTCGCAGAGGGGTGGAACAAGCGGGCGACCGCGTACTACCTTATGCAGGAGCGCGGGGAGGAAGACGTTGCATAAACATGAAACTGTCGAGGGGGTCCGTGCAGATGTCTCGGATCGGCGCTGGGCCCCCCTGGCGGTGCCTCCAGCGTCGCCCCATGGCACGCACCGCTCGCCGAGGAGGGGGGGGCCCGGCGCGGATCCAAAAAATCAACGCGGACTTCCGAAACTATATATATATATATATATATATATGTATATATACATGTGTATATGTATATATGTTTATGAGGGCTCTTGTTCCCCTAGGAGTACCAGCTCTCCCTAGAGGACTGCGACAGGGTCCTGTCCCTGAAGCCGGGCCACTTCGGGTGCCTTTCGGGCAAGGGCATGTGCCACATGTCGCTAGGGCAGGGCAAGCAGGCTGCGGCAACCTTCAAGCGCGCCCTGACGGTCCACCCCGGAATGGGAGGCGCGCTGCAGGCCCTGGACAGGCTCGACCGGAAAGGTAACCTGCAAAAGCTCCTGGTGCCCCGGGCGGACGAGGTGATCCAGGCCATCGAGAGCAACCGCAGCGCGCCCAGCAGCTGGGAGCTGGGCAGCGGCCTCCGCGGCGATGGCAACGACGGCGTCGCGGTCGACTGGGACGTCCACCAGGTCGCCCCGGACGGCAGCGGTGGCCCGCTGACGTACTTCTTCCGGGTGGGCTTCCGGAACAAGAGCATCGGCACGGTGCCCGTCCGCAGCCTGGGCCGGTTCTACGTGCTGAGGTTCGAGAGCGGCCGGGTGTTCCCGATCATGCGCCCGACGGAGGGCGCCGCCGAGTTCTACTTGGAGCCTGGCGAGGAGTACAGATACGCGTGGATCTTCAGCGTGAGCCAGCCCCTGGCGGAGATGCACGGTGGGATGCTGCTGGACCGGCCCTCCCGGGCGGCCACCTCGGACCGCGAGCGCTTCGTGGGGGCGAACTTGCCTGTGCTGCCGGTGAGCCAGGCGCCCGAGGTCGGCGTGCAGCACCTCGAGGTGCTCGCCGAGGGGCACGTCTTCATGGGCCAGCTCGACCTCACGCAGCTGGACAAGTGAGCCGCGCTTTCCCAGGACCCCCTCGCGTCATGAAAAGGTAATGGCCGAAGCTTTTTCGCCATCTTCGGCCTGCGGGTTCCTTGATTTCTGGACCTCGGGACCGTCAGAAAACAACTCGGGATGAAAAACGGGTCCCGGGTAATGGGTACGGACCATTGGAAGTCGACGTCATACAAAAAACAACAAACATGGCGTCAGATGCCTGGGGTTGGTGCGCGCCGCCATTGGGGGGGTAGACCTTCCGGGCTCTGCAGAGGCGG